TCTGCTGCATAACTGCCATATGACCAGCAGAATCAGGAAATAACATTAATCCAGTATCCAATCTGATTCACATTTTGTTGATGTCCCTAAAATGACCAAGATTCCAACCTGGGATCATGCCACATGTGGTTGTCTCTTCAGTATCCTGTGCGTTCCTCAGCCAGTCCTTGCCTTTCTTAATGGTATGCAGAGATATCTGTGTGTCTGTATTTGTGGCTGTATCGATACAATTATATGAAAAAGGAATTTACAGCCATATCTCTAATTGCAATCCGGCGACCCTGAGTTTATTCTGGGCTTCCCCCTTTCCTTTTGTTTTTTAAGATTTTATTTATTTGAGAGAGAGAGAGAGAGCCCCTGCACACAAACAGTGGGAGAGGGAAAAGCAGTCTCCCCACTGAGTAGGAGCCCAATGCGGCACTCGATCTCAGGCCCCTGGGATTACGACCTGAGCGGAAGGCAGACGCTTAACCAACTGAGCCACCCAGGCATTCCAGCCCTACTTTCCTTCTTTGTAACTTCCTCCACTCCCAGTGATCAATGCATTTACTTACTGCTTAAATCTCCTGGAATGTAATCAAACTCTGGGAAGCAAGGCTTCAAGAGGGAAGAGGGGGACGAAAAAAGGAACTAACTACCCTTTGAAAATGATTTGATCATGCTGGCATCTTGGGCCCATCTGTGGGAGTTGCCCGGAGTTTTGGAAGAAGTAGATGTTGCGCTCATCTAATGTGGTGGTTCACAACTTCGAGTTTAACTTTAACTTCTGCTGCGGATTCGAATCATCTGGGAAACATTTCCAAATGCCCATGCCTAACCTACACCCCATATCAATTAAATCCTAATCTCTAGGCATGAAACCCAATCAGCAATGTTTTTAAGTTCCCTGAGTGATTCCAATGTGAGTTAAGAACTAACAAAGCAGATTTCTACCTTTCGAAATAGGTTATAATGATTAGATCATTAGTTCAAATTGTATTTTTCAAAGGCAGCATATTGATAAGAAGAAGATGGTGTAAAAATGCAAAGTGTTGTGGGGCACCTGGGTGGTTCAGTTGGTTAAGTGTCTGACTCTTGGTTTCGGCTCAGATCATTATCTTGTGGTTGTGGGATCGAGCCCCATGTTGAGCTCTGTACAGAGTCTGTTTTAGGATTTTCTCTCCCTCTTCCTCTCCCTCCTGCTCACACTCCTCCTCTCTCTCTCTCAAATAAGTAATCTTTTTTGTTTTTAAAGGAAAGCATTGCAAGAGGCTCACATCTCCATTTTGAACTTTAAGATGTAAAGTATTTTCTGTTTGGGTATTTAGCAAGCATTTTGTCCTTGGAAATATTACATCCAGTAAAGATCTAATGCAGAATGTGAAGCCCTGGCTTAAAATTTGTGCTGTAATTGATTTGCCCTTGAGCAGTACTTCTCAAACTTTCATGTTCTTCCAAAGCACTTTTGTACCTTATTAAACTGATCTAGCAGGACTGGAGGAGAGGGGTGTTCTTTTTTTTTTTTTTCTTAAGATTTTATTTATCCGTTTGAGAGAGAGAAAATGAGAGAGAGAGAGAGCATGAGAGCGGGGAGGGTCAGAGGGAGAAGCAGACTCCCTGCTGAGCAGGGAGCCCAATGCGGACTCCATCGTGGGACTCCAGGATCATGACCTGAGCTGAAGGCAGTCGCCTAACCAACTGAGCCACCCAGGCGCCCTGAGGGGTGAGGTTTGAGAGACTTTATAAAGTGATGCTGAATGTGCTGATCTGGGGACCATGCTTTGGTGGCAAAATCCCGGAGTCTTTGCCCTGATAACTTAGTTGGTGAGTCTTGATTTTGTGGTGTTATGAACGTCTTTTGAAACTTGATAAAACCTAAGGGCTTTCCCCAGGAAAAACAAAATTAAAACAAAAACGTGCATATATACACCTAAGCATAAACTTCAGGGAGGCCATGCATTCATTCAATGAATACTCATTTTTCTTTTTCTTTTTCTTTTCCTTTTTTAAGATTTTATTTATTTATTTGGCAAAGAGACAGCGAGAGAGGGAACTGAAGCAGGGGGAGTGGGAGAGGGAGAAGCAGGCTCTCCGCTGAGCAGGGAGCCCGATGCGGGGCTCGATCCCAGGACCCTGGGATCATGACCTGAGCCGAAGGCAGACGCTTAACAACTGAGCCACCCAGGCACCCCAAATGCCCATTTTTCTGGGTGCTAATGATAGAGCAAAGGGCAAGATTGACAAGATCCTCACCTCCTGGAGCTTTCATTGTGGTGTCTGGGGACAAATCGTCACCACGTAAATAAAGAAGGCCTGTCGCGTAGTGATAAGTGATGAGGCAGTGTACCACGAACACACAATGGATGGATTGAGTTGGAGGAGTGCAAGAATGGCTTTGTGAAACCAGTCTGTCTGTCTGTCTGTCTGGGGAGACATCTTGTCCAGAGACCTGAGGGCCAGTCTATGGAATGAAAGCTTCCCCAGCAATCAGCTCCAGAGAGCCTGAAGTAGAAATGAACCCTGCAGTTTCATAAGACAGATCAGCTGGTATGGCAGGCGCAGAGTGAGTGAGGGAGAGAATGACAGGAGGTGACTTCAGAGGGGCAGAGGGGCCAGATCATGCAGGGCCTTGTAGGTCACAGCAAGAAGGTTGCTTCTACCCCATCCACCACCCAAACCTATTTTTATACCTTAAAGGAGCCATGGCCCCCATTTTAAGAACTGCAGATCGAGAGCTAATTTAGGAACGAAAACAGAAAAATGTCATTTGGAGAATAAAGGCGCAGAGAATACACCTGAAAATCCAGATGAAGGAGGTGAGCCTGCTCAGGGCAGAGCCCTTCTCCAGACCCCCGGTATCCACAGGGTCTGGAGCCTGCCTCCAGGGACAACTGCTCGCCGAGTAATAATAAGTTTAAGTTCCAATTTGCAAGCAAAATGTTCGTTTCCATCCTGTCTCCGCCCGCTGCAGAATGCTAGGACATCCCAGGCCTGCCCGGGGACGCACTCAGATGGCTTGACATCTCTTGTCTTTACTTCTCCACCTTCCAATAGCCAATAATGGCTTGGTGTGAGCACCGGCCTTAGCTTGCTAAGTTGTTGTGATGGCTCGGTTGTGGCTTTATTCCACATTTCACTCTGCTCCAGGGGGAGGTGGGGCTTGGACTGTGTGGCAATCCCCGTTTCTGTTAAGTGCCTCTTAAGTGGCAATTGTCTTTTAGCTCTCCTGTGTTGAGGGCTGGCTTGAGACCCTCACAGTCTGTAAAAGAGCTGCCTGATCAGGATTAAGAAGATTTAATCTATGCTTTAGTTTTCCCAGAGACCCTCTTAGGCCCCTAGATTATAAGGAAGGAAAAATGTACTGGCAGCCTGCTTTTGGAAATGATTTCCAATTCATATTTTCCTTAAAGTGAAACAGGAAATGAGGAATTTAAAATCTCAATTCTGGAGCACCTGGGTGGCTCAGTCGGTTGGGCGTCTGCCTTCGGCTCAAGTCATGATCTCAGGGTCCTGGGATGGAGTCTCACATTGGGCTCCCTTGCTCCGTGGGGAGCCTGCTTCTCCCTCTCTCTCTGCCTCTCTCCCTGCTTGTGCTCTCTGTCTCTCTCTCTCTCAAATGAATAAATTAAAAAACCTTTAAAAAAAAAAAGGTGGTTCTGGCCTTTGCTGGACTGTAGGGGCTATAGTTTCTTTATCTATAATGGAGATATTGAATTAAAGAAGCTTCCACATCTGGGCCAGCTCTTTAAAATATTGTCCTCTGAAAATAACACACTCCACCCCCAAATAAAACCTTTTTTAAAAATAATACTATAAACATATTTTGCTTTGCCAGTTTACCCCCAGTTGTGTACAAGATTATTTTGTTAAGTTGAATGCTTGTCCCTCATCTTGTGAGGTGACTACCTGTTGGAGGGAGGAGGAGGTTCTGTTCTGAAGCCTCATCATCAGCCAAGTTGGATGGGGCATCCGGACAGGGACCTCTAGTCTAGAAACAGTGGGGTGGGGGGGCGGTGTGAATCTTATGAAAGAGATACCAGCCCCAAACACTAGAAAAAGCAGCAACCTATTGTCTTGTCTCTCCTCATAGAAAGTAAATCCTTGGGGCCAGGGAATTTTTTTATTCACTGCTGTATCCCTCGTGCCTGGAACAGGACCTGGCACACAGTAGGTGCTCAGTAAATATTTGTTGACTAGATGGAGCTGCATATTGGCACTTCAACTTTCGTGATTTCTAGCAGTACTCCTCTTTCTGCGGGAAAGACTCCCAGAAGCAGGGAGAAGGACGGTGACAGGAACCTCTAGCTTTCCCTGTCTCCACCCAGGAGCACTGTGAGACTGAATTTCAAAAGTTCCAGAGAGGAAGAAAAGATTGTTCCATTCTTTCCAACTCACCTATGTCCCCCTTTCCACATTGAAACAGTCTAGATCTGGTAACGGCTCACGTGTTACAAACTATGTCTGCCTCAGAACAGACGCGACTCCCGAAAATCTTATCATGGATGATTTGTAAATTTAAGCATCCTTGATTTATCTATTCCAAAAATCCACGTTTATTAATTGGATTTGTTTCAAGGAACATTATGTGTTCTAAGGAAATAGATCTCACATTTTCAGCAGATTCATCTAGTCAGTACATCTCTGCTTCTAAGTGGAAAGAATAGGAAAATGGAGCCAAAAAATTGTTTTAAATGATTTAAAATTCTCATAGTTCTTTCCACAATGCCCTACTAGTTCAGTGTATCACAGCTAAAGTGGCTTTACCAATGGTGGACCGTTTGGATATCATTTGTGTATATATATAAAAAAAGACCGAGTTTGAGTCTCTTTGGAAAACCAGATGCAAATTAGCCCCTGGAGCTCGGGAACTGTTAGGAAAGCAGAGGAGGGAACGTGGGCACCTTCCCATTGGCTGGGGGGACTCACCCAGATGTCTGACTTCCACATAAAAGACAGGAACCACTGCAGTCAGTTCCCACTTCCAGTTAAAGGACGACAGCAAAAACAGCAAAAAAAGGAAGATGGCCAGACTATTATTACTTTCCCTCCCAGGTCTTGTAGCCATATGTGCCGTGCACGGAATATTTATGGACAGACTTGCTTCCAAGAAGCTCTGTGCAGATGACGAGTGCGTGTGTAAGGACACATTTTATGCCTTTCATTATCTTTCTATTATATAACTGAAAAAGAATGGGGCACCTGGGTGGCTCAGTCAGTTGAGCGTCTGCCTTCGGCTTGGGTCATGATCCCAGAGTTCTGGGATCGAGCCCCATGTCTGGCTCCCTGCTCAGCGGGGAGCCTGCTTCTCCCTCTGCCTGCCGCTCCCCCTGCTTGTGCTCTCTCTCTGTCATAAATAAATAAATAAAAATCTATCTATCTATCTATATATATAAAAATAAAAATAAATCTCTCTGTCAATAAAAAAATAAATAAATAAATAAGTAGAAAAAGAAAAAAAAATCCACTAACAGCAGAACTATCTAATTGGGCTTTAAGTGAATCTTCTCTAACGTGTATGTCGCTAGGACTGCTTGGTCTGTACATTCAGTGTCTTAATTACTGAGAATTCACTTGGTTAAGATTTTCAGCTTTCATACCTTGGCTATATTACTCTTCTTGAACTGAACATTCAGGAGCTGTAAACTGGGAGTTATTAGTCTCTCTGATTTCCTATTTCTGATACGTTTGGCCTTTTTACTGTTAGAAAATCCAGGAGACTAAATAATGTAGTCATTTCAATGTTTCTTTTCTTCCAGATACTATTTCTCTGGCCAGAGCTCAAGAAGATTACAATGCCCCAGACTGTAGGTTCATTAATGTTAAAAAAGGACAGCAGATTTATGTTTACTCAAAGCTGGTACAAGAAAACGGAGCTGGAGAATTTTGGGCTGGCAGTGTAAGATGAGATCCTTGCAAATATACACACATCTTGACATAGGTTGCTCTTAATTTTTTCTCTCTGACCTCCCTCCAGTACATTTCAGTGTTTGAAACAAGCTCTCAAGAATAATGGAGAGGTTTAGATGCAAGTGCAGAAAATCACATGCATTTGCTTTTCTGGCATTTTGAAGAAACAAAGGAAATTTCATAACAAAACCAAATGTAGGTTTATGTGATGTGTTGGCAAGAACTAGTCAACCACATGGGGGGCTTGAACATCTTAAAGAGTTTGAAACTTACTCAAAAATGTTTGAACGGATTTGCCAAGGAAAAGGCTTGCGTGTTGGCAGTCAGGTTCCGCTTCAATATTTTAAAGGAAACCAACACCCTCTTCAGCTCCAGAGAATCTGCTTTCTTCGGTGAAAACCTGCAGGGGTGGGCCCCAGGGAGGGATGAAGCAGGGCTGATTTCCTGTCCTCATCTGCAGCCCCACAGACAGATTCTCAAGGAATGAAGAATTAAATCTTAAATTCACTCAAGTATCTGTGCACTCGAATATTTAACAATCGAGAAAGGCCAGTTCTTTAAAATAAAAGTACCTATTTGGTTCTTTAGAAACCTACTGAATTTGCTTGTGGGTTCCAAAAAGATTTTGGGCAGTTCACAAGATTGCATAAAATAAAGAAATGCTCAGTGAGACTGGGAAGACCTGGCCACAAGAGAACAGAGATACACTTTCTGTGGGTTGACTCAGTTGCTGTGAGTGAGCTTCAAAGTTGGATCTGAGGCCCCTGGAACCCAGAGGGGAAAATGGAGTCATTGCAATTCTGTAATTCTCATTCACAGCAAATGTGATGCTAGGGGGTGTCTAGAAGTGGACTCCCAGCCGCAGCCCCCTGACTGTTACTCTTCTGGGCGCTCAGGTCTACGGAGATGACCATGAGGACGAGATGGGCACCCTGGGCTATTTCCCCAGCAGCTTGGTCGAGGAGCAACACTTGTACCAAGAAGCCACCAGAGAAGTCCCCACCACGGTAAGTGTCTCAGAGCAGGCCAGGGAAGGACCCAGATCCTGGGCTAGTGCAGGCAGGTGTTAAAAATGCATCTTGTCACTTACAAGACGACTGGAGCAAACCCCCCTACTTGTAGCAGAGGCTTCCCCAAGACAGGGAGGTTTGGGAGAGCATTTACACCTACTCTCAGTGTTGAAAGGTTACTGAACTTTCTCCATCCACCCCCTTTTGTTTTTAGATACAAGTTATCCTAGAAAGGAGTCCATGTCACAAAGAAAGAAAAGAATATAGTATTCATGGACTCTTAACTGATGGTTACATTTATTTACTAAAACACTTGGGCTGGGAAAAAATCAGCACCTGTATTTAATCAAATCAAAACATTCTGGAAAAAAAAAAATCTTTGGGTGCCTTATTTCTGTGGTCTATAGATTCTACTTATGTTTGAAAAAGAAATTATACTCTTTCCAGTGCCCTGGGGTCTTGCAAGCCCCAGAAGAGACATAAAAGATTCCCTTTGAGCTACTTGGCAGGGTGGTTGTTTTGAAGATTCTCCTGGAGCTAATTGCTGCGTGAAATAACTTCAAAACATTGCCCAACCCACACAGATGGGAGTTGCTTGTCATCGCTTCTGAGCACTGAGCTTGAATGTGTCAATTAACCACCAATTAAAAGTGTATTTGAGAACCTTCATTTTAAGTAGTTTTTGACTTAAAGTGATAATTATGTCATACTCTTTGGGGTTCAACCTTATTTTAAATCCAGATTTCTCTTTGATGACCTATGACCTTCTTTTAAATAAAGAAACTATATTTGTTTTCTGGCCCTTGTGTGCTCGGTTCAATCTTTTTTTTTTTATTTGCCTTTTTTTTTTCCCCTAGGATATTGACTTCTTCTGTGAGTAAGAAATTAGACAAACCTGCAAGGAAAAAGGAAACACCAAAAACTAGGAAAAGCGAAATAAGAAAAAAATACGTGTCCCAAATTCCTGACTTTTGTTTCAAGGCTTTGTTATCCTTACAGGAGGACTGGGCCTTGGCGGCCAGAGGTGGCGCATGAAGGAGGGGGTTCCATTCAGTTTTCTGCTGGCCTGGTCTTCCCACCACCTGGGGCAGGGCGACGTTTGGTTCAAGAGGGAGAATTGAAAGCAGAAATTCTATTTTAGCCTAGAGAACCCTCTCTTATGCAAGAATGTATACAGAGGATGGCTCATTTTTATTATTTCTAAATTGTAATTCTTACCAGCTCTTTGGCTTCTTATATAAACTTGGTGGGTCACAGATCTTCTCTTTGGACATGCTATTTTCTAATTATTTGTCTCACTGGCCATTTGGAGTGTTATATGTACCCAAAGGGGCTATATCCCCAAGGAGTATTCGAGGATTGTTGTTACTTTTAATATTGGATGTGTTTGGGATGTGAAGTTGGTGGGAGCGGATGAGCTGTTTGGGCTCAGAGATATTTGGACTATGCCTCTTTCTCTTAAAAAAAATCACAAATTATTTCAATGGAATTTTATCTTCTAGTGATCAATTTACTGCTTCCCAAATTTTAAGTGTGTGTGTATGTAATAAGGGTGGAGCAGCTTATGAAATATTTGTAATGGGATAGTTTCCCCATCATATGTGCTGTCACTGCAAACATTTGAGCTTCAAGTCAAAAGACAGGGGGAAAAATTCTGTGGGTTATTTCTCGACTTCTTTTTCAACTTTGAATTTCCTCTTCCTGTGCAAAGTCCCCCAGTCAAGGATGATGTGTGAAGAAATCTGGTGAGGGCATTGGTGGTCCCAAAGGATAATACAAGTGTCTCTACATTTGATTGGAAATTTGCTTTGATTGTGTATTCCTACTATAATTCTTTTTATGTAGTCATGAGTCTTTTTTACATGTAATTAAAATGCCTGTACTCAAAAAAATTGACAATTTCTGACATAAAATTTGTTTTAAAACATTTTTCACCTGGGGTCATCGAAAGTCTGGAAGGCACTTGGAATTGGGGTTGGTTCCTCAGTTATCTGTGGTCTGTTCATCCCACCGGCATGAAGAGGAGGGCATTTACAATAAGTCAGAGATGGGGACCCCAGGCTCATTTTTCCAGCTGTGTCCATTGTGATTTGGGGTGAATTTATTTTTGCCAAATTCCCATGGGGTTTCATCATGTGAAATGGTACCCCAAAAAAGCCCCCCAAACCCAAACCCACTTACTGCATTCCATAAAATGTTTCAGGCAGCATCTAGGGTGGTCAACACAATTTAAGGTAAGAGACATTTATCCGCTGTTTCTATCTGCCTCTCACTTGCTGGCTCCCCCTTCCAGGTACTCCATTATCCCTCATGACACCCTCCATCTGCCAAAGCCCCCATCTGTCTGGCCTCATGCTTCCAGCCTTCCTCCTCAAGCACGGGGCTTCAGGCTGCGGTCCCTCCTGGCCACACCTGCCTTCCCCTCACCAGAACCGATCTCATCCAGAACTTTTGATTGGTTTCCATCTTCTGGGGGCCTAGCTGCATCAACAGAATGAAAGCACCTGCAGGGACTTTTAAACATGAGCTAGCCTTTCAGAAGGCAAAGGGCCATCCCTGGCCCGGGGGCAGCGTGGGCCTCACTTGGGTGCTGGTTAAGAAGGCAGAACCCCAGGGCCCACCGCAGACTTTCTGAATCACAATCTGCATTTTCACAAGACCCCCAGATTTGAGGTTCATGGATGCATTGGAGGGAAAGAGAAACCTCCTTCTACCCTTCTTGGGTCTCTGGCTGGGCCTAAGAATTAAACTGACATAGACTACCAGGAGAGAAGCGGGTATGCTTAATTTCATATTTTTATATGGTGATGGGAATCTTCAAAAGGAAAATGAAGACTCAGAGAAGCCACTAGAGCCATGTACTTATATACCTTTTTCGACAATGAACAATAAAATGTGGGACGTGACAAGACAAAGTGGCTTGGGTGCAGGGCAGTAAATCACGGTACGGTGACCAGGAAACATACACGGAGAGCTGTGGAAGACAAGGGTGATTGCAGCGGCTTTTTTGCCCGGGTCCCTTCCAGCGCCGACTCCCAGGGCCTGGCCATAAGTGCGTCCTCTTCCCAGCGCACCGAGAGCACCTTCCTCTTGGGAAATTTTATGGCCTGTTTTTAGGTAGAAAGGGAGGTCAGAGAACCCTTCCTGCATCTGCGATTTCTCTCCCGCCTTCAGCTCAAAATGATCAATATGCCGAAGCGGCATCTTTTGGGGTAGCATGTTCTGAACCCCTTGGACATTAAAGGTTATGAGAAACACTCATTTTAGTTCTCTCCTTTCCTCTGACACAGAAAGAAATAAGTGAAAAAAGCGAGAGCACCTGGGAGATGAAGCAGCTCTGCCAAGGTTGAACGAGCAGGATTTCCACATTCCGAAACCAGTATCCCCCCATGTTGTAGGACCGCCGTGGTGTCTATAGATCTCTACCTTCCAGAAAAGGAGGCCGTGGGGTGGGGAAGTGAGAGTCGGGGGGGGGCAATGAGGCTACTTGGGGAATCTTCCTTCCCACTACGAGCAAGGGTATCTTCTACCTCTAAGAGATTCTCAGTCCCTGATGTTGTTGCTTTGCAAACTTGGGAGCTCCTGAGAAATCTGAGACCAGGCCCTGGAAGGGGAGACCGGGAAAGAGGTAGACCACTCCAGATGGGCAGGTGGCAGTTTCCTGAAGCAAGGGACTTAACACGCAAGGCTTATGGGCGGCTGCAAGACGAGTGAGGAGCCTCTACTGACCATTCGCGTCCAGCTCAAGGGTCAACTGGTGGTCACGTCCTCTCCATGACCTCCCCCAACAGACATTAAAGAAAACAAAAATCCCCAAACAACTAGGCCTAGGGATCCCTGAGGGAACTCCAACTTGTAGGTTTCCTCTATACTCCCAAGCTGAGGCTGTGTGTGTCTGTGTGTGTGTGTGTGTGTGTCTGTGTGTGTGTGTAGTGTTTAAATTTTTCCATGTAGCTGTACTATTACCTCTTGGGAGAAAACTAAGGATTTCACTATCCCTTGTGTATATACAATGGAATATTCATCAGCCATAAAAGAGAATGAAATCTTGACATTTGCAACCACATGTTTGGAGTATTATGCTCAGTGAAATAAATCAGTCAGATAAAGATGAATACCCTATATTTCATTCATGTGGAATTTACAAAACGAAACAAAGAAAAAAAAGAGACAAACCAAAAAACAGACTCTTTTTTTTTTTTATTCTTTTTTCAAAAAACAGACTCTTACCTATAGAGAACAAACTGGCGAATGCCAGAGGGGAGGCGGGTGGAGGGATGGGGGAAATAGGTGAAGGAGATCAAGAGCACACTTATCATGATGAGCACTGAGTGATGTACAGAATTGTTGAATCACTATACTGTGCACCTGAAACTAATAAAAAAAAAAGAGTTTCCTCATCCTTGACCTCACAGGATATGGGAAACAATAAGGGCAGTGGATAGGGGTAGCGCAGTCAAGTAGCTTTCAGGAGCCAATTTAGGGCAAATGGTGAGACTGCCTCGAGCAGAGCTATTCAAAGGGGTTACCAGTGCAAGACGAGAGAAGCACTGAAACCCATCCGAGGTGAGAACAGTCACGGCATGGAAGACCCCGGCAGGCAATAAAATGAAATGAAATCTTGTTTAAGGGAACTGTGTAATTGGTGGCTCAGAGAAGTCAGGCAAGCACAGAGCTCAGGGCAGCATGGAAAAAGATAGGCTGTCTATTTCTTTCAGTGCTGTCGTTCCCTATGTGTGCATGCTTGAATAAGGTTCTGACCTTGCTGGACCTCTGTTTTCTTGGCTGTCAAGGGGTTCACAGCATCTTCCTTGCTGGGCTGTTGCGAGGCTTAAATATAATATAATAAGGCCTCTAAGAGTGGGACCCCTAGGTGGCAGCTAGTATTATCTGACCCAAGAGGGCCGCAGAGAGAACAGCCTTCCCTCAAGGAGCTGTGCTGTAATCTGCTAGATGCTTCACTGATAAGAAATTGTAACTTCCCCTTCAGACCATCTGGGATTTCTAAATCAAAGATATTTCCACATTGCATACTTTTTTTGTGGTCTCATTTCTTAAAAAACAACAACAAAAAAAAAACCAAAACACCTGAAATTACCCGAAATAGTGTGGAGTGTATGAGTATAATTTTGATTTGAAGTCCCAGTTCTGGCCACAGCCCTTCATTAACACCAACATGT